CCTGAATGTCCTATTACAATTCATTTTTATAAATTTCAAAACAATTTGTCCTGAATGTCCTATTACAATTCATTTTTATAAATTTCAAAACAATTTGTCCTAAATATAATATGTGCCAGTGAAGTTGAAGGGAACTCTGTACCTTTAATGTTTTAAAATTATTAGCATTGAATGCTTTATTTTTTATTGTATTGGTATCCCAATAAACCTTAATCAATATGAACACTGTATCATTCATTAAGAGTACAGAGTTCCCTTCAACTTTCACTGACACATATTATAATTCAATTTAAAAATTACATAACACCTTGCTTGCGCCTATAATCACCCTTTTATTTAATATTTCATGGTATCCATAGTAAAATCAATTATTTGATTGAAAAAAGCTTGTTTTAAAAAAATATTCAAATGTACAGTAACTCAACTCAAGGTGTTAAGCGGCTACAATGCAGTGTAAGGGGTTACTAAACAACAGGGTGTTTCCCATTATTTAAAAACTGGCGGCACTTATAATACACCCAATTCATGTATATAACTATAGAACCCATAATTAATCTTTTTAATAAATTATTTTAGTTTTGTTAATTTGTTTAAAACCTCAAAAACGACATTACATTCCGGAAAGGCTTTGTATGAATTTTCTCAAATACTTGTAAATTTCAATGTCATAGCGCATTTAGTATTCTTTCGAAAGTATTTTAAATAATGTGATTAAATATAGTATATTAAATGTAAATTTTTAAAATCCCTTTTTACTTTTATTAGAGAATTTTTTATATAAATAAATTTTCTAAAAATACGTTAAAGATTTTTAATAGTGCATTTAGTATAAACTTACAAAATAATACATTTACATTCATTCCCATAATATTTCAGTATTAAACAAGGGTTAATTATATATTAATCAAGTATATTTTAAAAATATATTTTTAATAAAAAGTAAATTAAAATTTAATGAGTATTTGCACTATATTGACAGTTATCTGAGATAACTTATCTCTGAGTGAGCAGTACAGCTAAGTTTTTTGAAGCACCGATTGTAGGATAATCCTCCTATACAGGAGTATAGTTGACAACCCTGAATATACATGTACTGAAATAAAACGCGTTATCATCTAAACTAGGCTTATATAAATGCTGAACTAATAAGCAATTTATTTGTTAAAATAAATTGAAATAGTATAAAACTTGTTTTCAGTAATTCTACCGACAAATTAATCTGCTAAAATGGACCAGTTTATAGGCAAATTCGTGCAGACCTCAATTGATAATATGGACGCTTATTTAAAAGAGTGCGGTAGGTGTCGCTATCACACATATACGCCCATTTATGACCCAATATACTCAATAACCATTGATCACGTGACCCATTCATTCGCATTTACTAACCAAACAAGCTGAACGTAATATGAGTTCATCTACTCTTAGGACTGGCGGACAAAATACAAAGCTATAACTCAAAACCACGGGTACTGGAGGTGAGCAAATTGGGCGCTGTCTACACGAACACGATTATCGTCGACGATCTTACCTTCGTTAACGAGTTCAAATTGGACAAGGAGTTCGACGCCACCCTACCGGACGGCACGCCCTGCCGGGCGGTCGTGACGCTGGACGGCAATCGACTCGTGGAGACACGGAGTCGACGCGGCGTTAAAGAGATTGAAATTTATCGCGAGTTTATCGACAATGAGCTCCGGATGGTCCTCAATGTGGGGCCCGTTGTCGCTGTGGTCACATTCTCGCGCCAGTAGACAGTAATGTCAGCATGGTGGATTAGTAGATTAGATGTTTGTGACAATGTTCTATAGAAATCATACTAAATTCCTTTCGATTGTCACATTTGTTTAAATATTGAAATTAACATTCAAGTTACACAGTGTATTTTAAATCTGAATTTTTAATTTTTGATTAAATAATGTTTTAGAATTATAATAAATTTATGGATTATTTCATTATGTCAATTAGAATCTGAGACTTAAGCAGCCAGGTCACTAGCCAGGTACACATTACTGAATCAGCAGTGTCAGCTGACAAACATGCCTGACCAACGGGTACGGGTGACGCTATATTTGAATGAGTCGCTTACGGGTTGGCTGTGAGTTAGGTGTCGACCCGTTTGTGGCTATAATTTATGTGTAAGGATCATATTAATAAGTAGGACCAAATAATTGTGGCTGTACATGTATAAACTATTGCATCTAATGAACAAGGCTGTACATGAATCTAATCATGGTAAAAGTTTTGTTGGAAATTATTATTTTTTGTGGTTCTCATAGGTTAACGTCCATGGGCTACAGAGCCCACTTACTACTATTAATAACATTTGTAATTGCTATAGATTAAAAATTTTGTTAATGTATGGCTTAGACACTACGAGGGCACGAGCCCGGTGCTGACCGTGGCCGACCCGGACCTCGTCAAACGTATCCTGGTCACCGACTATCAGGCCTTTCCAGATAAGCCCCGATTCGAGTTCGGCCACGTGCTCGACACGGGTCTGTCGAACGCGAGCGGCAACGCGTGACGCCGCCAACGGCG